TTCAATCAATTATCGCATTAACATGATTTTATTATGTATCACATTCAAATTGACCAAATCGGTGGCAGTAGCCGAACTCGTTCTCGGCGCCATTACCAAAAATAATAAATTACTACAAAAAAAAAGCTCAAAACACGAGAGTTTTCTACGTGGGCGATTTCCCAGCCACCAAATGTGAGTTTGTTAGTGAGCACCGAGATTGGTAATTTGCGATTTGCGGCTCGTTAAGTATTATAACTTAATTAGCTGCACACCGATTCGTGGAGATGCTTGAAAGGAAATCAAATATTTTCGTTTGTTAAGTGTTTACGGTAAACATTTTTTAGCGCTATTTTCAATCCCTTATATAACTTGTTTTGTTTGCAATTTTTTATTTATAGTTTTTTAAAAAGAGTGTGCAAAAATACTTTGCTTTTCTCTCTACCAGCCTTTGTTATTCAAAATCAATGTTTTTTCTTTTACTTTTTTTCGAATTCCCCCCAAAGAGACAAAGACAATGCCTCTTGTTATGCAAAAATTGGATTTCAATTTCACAGATTTATAGGCCTGAGGGCAGCGGTTCGAGCTTAGCTTCGAACTTTGAAGTATTGTTAATAAGGAGAGGGGGAAAATGCATTAAAACCTGTGGAAAATTAATTGGGGCGCATCAGAGTTCATTAGGCCTGTGCTGCTCCTTCGAGAGAGCCAAAAGTTGGATGCTGTATGTTCGCTGGGATGTTGCTTTTTGTGTAAACATTTGCATGCACATCAAAAGTAACTGTAACCGAATGTTGTCTGGCCAACAAAACAAAAAAAAGTAACAAACAGTCGGCGGACAGGCAACAACAGCAGCAAAAGATCAAAATCATTTGAAAAATTGCTAGCGAAATGGTAAGGCGGCAGCAGCAAATCGAAGATGGAAAATGTGTACATTGGTTCAGAGGAAGAAAAACCGGGGGAAAACCCCCACGAGAGAGGAACGCACGAGATGAGGGTAGAGACCATTGAATACCCGGTACTTGAATTAATGCTTAAAGGTAGCAGGAAAATCGTTCTTCTTTTATAATTATAAATGTATTTTTTGCAATTTCTAGATATATCCTTTGGCTCTATGAATATCTAGTAGTAGTACTACTGATATATCGACCAACCTATCAATATATCGGTAAATAAGGCCTTTTACATCATCATAAAATCTACATATAATGTTTTTAATTTACTTGTACCATTATCAAACAGAATATCGATTCATCTAACCATATAGATCGTGAATATCCGACATATCAACATCGATTATATTATTGATTTATCGATCTATAAATGTTGCAATCATATATTGTTTCATATATCGACCCATACGTTAAATATCGATCACAATTTCGATATTTTCTGACTTCCCTAATACCTATCAAAACATGCTTCCACCGGAGGAAACAAACCAACCACTCCCCCGGACGAAGATGCAGATGTTGCAGCAGTTGCAGTTGCAGTTTCTAAATGCCGCTGCGCACCAATTCACCGACAGTCGAGCGGCCGGCAACAACAACAACGAGAATGCAACTTTGCATAATTTATGGCAATCAATTTCGCGTGAACATCAACACGGTTGCAATGCGAAATGCAAAAAGATACAAAGCGCAACACGGCAACTCTTGCAACAGAAAAGAAAACAAAATAGAAAGAAAAAGAAGAGAAATTGCAGCAGGCTGCAAGCCATCCGTCGTCCATCGAATGCCACCATCTCAACATCAACTTATTTAGTTCTACTTAAATGTTTACTTTCATCAATTCGCAACGATTCCCAACAACGACGACTTGACTCCATTCGCCGCCAGACTGCCACCAGAGCAATGTCAATTGGCTGCGGATTGGATTGTTGCTTTTTGGTCACAAAACTGTAGCTGGTCAAGAGAGACCAACTCAACAGGATGCCCGTTGGATTTTCGGATGGAGATGGTAGATACATTCACTTTACGGTAACAGTAAGAGTCGCCATTCGTTGGTTGGAACATCTGGAACAATTTCGTTTTGGCCCTAATCTAATTGCCATCGTCTAACCCAATTTCCTAGTTCCTTCAGCTCTTCAACTGCAACTCCAATTGCAAATTCAGAACTTTCACTTGGCCGCCTTGGGTCAAAGCCAGCCAGCATTCAGCAACACCCACACCAAACAAAAGCTAGACTTTCGAGAGGATGGATCGAGTTCTCCTTTTGGCCAAATACATATCATTTTACATAATAAATTTAATGCTGCTCGCGTGGCGAACCCCCTCCCTCCTTTGTCTTCGCTGACAGCTCGCAATTTGTGCTCATAGGAAGTCAGGTGCCGGCACCAAGGTGCATTGTGTGTCTACTGTAGTTATCAAATAAATACTAAGCACTCTGCGCTACTCTACTCTACTCCCATTCTGCTTGAGTGCCGTCTACTTTAGCATGGCGTTATGCATTCACCGTTGCTTTTGGCCCACTTACTAACTTACTAACAAAAAACTTTAAACTCAAAAACATAAATAATAAAATAAAGAGGAAAACTGCACCGAGTTTTTCCTGATTTATGTCCAAACAACAAATTGTGTGTGTTGGCTTGGCTTGGCAGTTTCCTTATACGACACGATTTAAGAGAATTATGCCTGTGATTTTGATTATGCTTCAACACTCTAAAAACGGTTCCTGTCCGATTAACATCTCCAGAGAGCTGAGGTGGAAATCTGGCCAATTCAATTTAGTAATTTCTCTGCTGGCTGCATACTTTCCCGCCGCCTGATTAACCCCATATGTGCGAGGTTAAGATCCGTCAGCTTCTATGGATCGCATCCGTTGCACGCAATAGATGGAAATGGATGGGAAATTGTGAAAGAGTTTTAATCAAAGTGGAAATTCCGATCGGACCCGGCGCCATTTGATATCTTTCTCGGCTGCCTTGACACGCAATTGAGAGCCAGGGCCAAAAATAAATCTCGAGGAGATTCTTCATTTCGAAATGTGAACAATCTTTCCCTTCGGCGAGTGTAAAGAAAGATCTGGGGGAAAAATTGGGGGCAAAAGTGTGGCACTGACGATGGAAATCCAGGCGTGCACTTGACGCCACTGAACCCACAAATTGGTGGTGTCATTAGGCAGATATTGATTTGAATTTATTGGCAATTCAATTAACTTTAACCAAATGATCGCAGCTCTGTCTGGGGTTCTTCTGGCTTTCAATTATTCGTGGCGGAAAGGGGGGAAGTGAAGTTTTTCCACGGCTTCCGCTGCAGCCATTAATTGCTGGCAGCTGGCGCATTACAATGCGGAAATGCAATCGAATCGAATTGAAAATGGAATGGAATCGAACGCACTTCACACGCAAATAAACAGTCCGTTGTGGCCTGGAGTTTATCTTCTTCTACGGGATGCACGCCAGCAATTTATTCTCCGAAGAAAGCCAGAGGTAGTGAATGGCGAGCTGTTATGCAAATCAGCAGGTAGTCGTCCCCGGAAAGGTAGAAGCCCAGGTCGGTCATTCACCGCCGACACACACACAAGTATCCATGAGATACGCGCCATTCGCATGCGATTCGCGGCATTAGAATGTGCGCACACTTGAATAGTTTGTTGGCGGAGGAGCCTAGGAACGAACCTAGGATCCCCCTTTGGAGTTTTTGTGCCTGCTCCAGTGAATGGGGGAGATTTCCATTTAGCCAAGGCATTATTTCGAGCGCTTTCATTAAACAACTGAAAAATAATTGCAAGTAAGGGAGGCGAAGGAGGAGGAGGCTTCGACTCACACTCATTGTTGCCGTTGATGGGAAAGCTGGGGAAAATAATGGCAACAAATAACCGAATAATGCCCCATGAAACATAATAAACATAGCATATATGAACACATATAGAAAAATGTGTAAATATCACTTAAAAAAAACGAAAATGAAAGTGAAACCGTTTTCTTTCATTCAACCCATTCAGTCATATATCTGAGAGAAATAGATGAGAAAGTCAAGAAAGAGTTGTCAATTCATTCAGAAATAGAAAATGTGTGAGTGTCACATTGAATTCAATTTCAATAGCAATTTCCATTTCGAATCGTTAAACCCTATCTATCTATCTATCTATCTATCTATCGAAAAGGCCAAGTACTCTTGGGGCGCTCCAATGTCACCGTTCATTGCATAATCACCTAACCGTCACTAATTCCTACGTAATTGGAAAGCCCTAATGTCAGACTCTGTGCTCTGGGGCCATCCCATCGAATGCCGAGTGCCTCGCACTGCTCCCTGCCCCCCAAATGCATCATCATATGCACCGCATCTGTTGCAACTTATTAATTTTAAACACCGGGGCCAACAACCGTTCCGAGCTGTGAGCGACATGGCCAAAATGCTCGAAAAAAATACAAAATAACACCCAACACACAAAGCGGCTTACACTCTTAAGTGCTGGGCCGAGACTGAAGCTAAACGCTATTAATTTTTACACACGGTTTCACTGCAGTCCGAATGCGTTTTTCATGAGCTCGGAATTTTACAACTCCCAGCTAAGCTGCAGTGGCAATGGGTTTGGATTTAAGCCAACTCTGCTCTGCTCTACTCTGGTGCGGTGTGGTCTGGGCCATTGTTTTGCAATTTCGGTTGGATGATGATAATGAATGATGAGCCGAACCGAACAAAAACCTAACCAAGAGCTGAGCAACGGCCACAATACCTATTGAGTAATTACACAAAAAAAATTTTAAAGTTTAATTAAAATTGTGTAAATAATCGCATTTGCCTGGCATTGTTATCTTTTTTTGTTAGCGGGTGTTGCTCTTACTCTTACTCTTACTATTACTGTTGCGAAAATGAAAGTGCCATCAAAGTTTGATGCTCAATTATGGTGGGAACAAGGGAGATGATGTCTTTCAACAGCGACACATGACAGTACTAGTAATTAAATGAAGATAAATATCACACAGATCAATCATTGATTTATCTGTCACTATATAAAGATACCCTATCTTATGATTATATTCTTACAAAAGCTCTGTTATGATAGGTACTGGGACTCACCTTGTAAACCTCCGAGAAGAAGCCAGATCCAATCTTCTCCTTGACAAAATCATCCACACTATATAATGCTGAGACGGCGGTGCGCAGAGCCCGGCATGATATTCCGGTAACCAAGCGATCGGAGGATATAGCCCGGGACACGGGCGCTGGAGGCAGGCCATTCGCCAAACCATTCGCAATCCCTCCTCCATTATCTCCACTGGCTGTGTCTCCTGCTCCTCCTCCTCCCCTATATGCTGCACTTGGTGGTAATGTTGAGCTGCTGGTGGTGGTGGTGCTGCTGGTGCTGCACATAGCCGCTGTGCTCGGCCAGATAAAGGGAGATGACGCCGATGTGTGGCCCGAGGAATCCACCTGGTCCACTGCTAGGCTGCAGCTCTCCAACGGCGGGCCGGGTCCACTGTGCTGATTCAGGCTCATGTTTATCAGCTACGACGTATGTTGCTGTCGTATCAGGATGAAAATTGTGTATCTGAGGTTTCTAGTGCTTGGTTTTTGGGTTATTTGGTTTTTGACTTTTCAAGTGTCTTGGGTTGGGCGACTTTGCTCTACGAATCGAGTAAGATCAGTGGATTACCACTTGGTCTTGTTCATGATAACCGATTAACGCGAAAGAACTATGCTCGATCGTAGCAAGATTTTTTAAACAAATACAAAAAAAGAAAAGGAATATTTATGTGGCAACTATATGTATATATCAATCACTGTCGTTTTGCTCGATAAAAGAGACTTGTGTACTCGTATCTTATCGGTATTTGGAATGGTTAATGGATAGTCCTTCGATTCTTGGCACGTTTGCACTTGTGGAAGCTGCACTGGAAGCGCTCACAGTTGGAAGTCTGAAAAAAAAACAGCGGCAAGCAAACAAAAAATACAAGTTAATAAAATTCAATCAATTCCGTTGCTCTAATGAAATGTAAATAAACACGTCTAAATATATAAATGTGTGTATTTCTGTTGGCAAAACTGACGGAGCGGCGCGTGATCAACATTTCTCTGTTTATTCTCATTTTTTTATGGGGTGCAAGCAGCAAATCAAAAAAATAAAACTTTAAAGAATTCACTAAATATTCTGCTGTCACGCGCCCCAGAAAGTATTATATCCAAGTCTTGGCAATAAATTTAAGTCAAGACAAAGTAAAGAATATTACAAGTTTAGGGTATTAAATGTCTAAGAAAAAACTCATTTAAATTAAGCTAAAAGCCTAATAAGTAGATGTGATTTCAAAGCTAGAGATAACCAATAAATTATTTGTTACTCTTGATGACAAGGTATAGATTATTTTTCCCAATAAGCTGATAGGCTTGGAAGTATACATTCAGATTAGGATACTCCGAAATCGATCGAGAATTTTATTTATGAATCCAGTTTCCGTTGGAACTGAGGATTAGCAAACATCGCTAAACTTACACGAATGAATTAATCGAGCCTGCTCGCATTTGCTAATAAATATTCAGGGTCAAAGTCGACGCCGATTGGCGGAGTTGTGCGTTTGATGGCCCCCCGGCTTATCAGCCAGGCTTTGGCGCTGATAGCCACAAGCACTATACTCATATGTATGTACTTGATAGCGCCTGTGTTCAAGTGCGATAAAAACACACGAACACGACCACGAACATTTTTAGCAACCTACCACCAGCTCTTGCCTTCTTCACTCCGTTCAACAAACAATGTAATTTAGCGGCAATTTGGTTATCATTTTGCCAAGTGTCGTCGTTTGTTTTTGTTTTCGTTTGCTGTCTCATCGGATGGGGGGAGGAGTGGCTTGAGGGGTTAAAAGAGTTCAGTTCATCAGTAAATACAAGTGTGATAAACTCGACTACATCAGCCTTGGCCTCGAGCTTGAGCAGCAAAGTTGAAGGAGCCTCCTAGAGAGAGCCTAGAAAACACCGGGGGAATCTATTAAGGGTTCCGCCCTTGAAACACACACACAGAGCGAACCACTTGGCGGCTTCATGGCAGAGATAAGTTGGGAAATGATATAACCAAATATTTTTGCTGCTCTAATAATACCAGAGAACAACGGCAACAGGTTGGAATTTTTTTTCGATTTGCCATTCCCTCTTATCAAACCATATATATTCAGCGATAAGATATAGCAAAATGGCTTTTGGGCGACACCAAATAAAATCAGCCAGCACGAAATTGGGCTCGTAAAGGATCATGCGAGTGGCCCAAAAGGGGATCATGGCAGATAAGAGAAAAGTGCCAGCTCACAATTAAAACTATAACAAAATAATTACACCAAATTTCGACATAATGATAATGATAGAGGCGAAACAAGCAAAGCTCTCACTTTTCCGCTGGCCAAAACTAAAAACCAAAAACCAAAATAAAATACAAATTACTAAGCACATTTTTGCACTCTGGCAAATGGGGAAGTTATGCGAATTGAGATTTTTCTGCCTGTTGTTTGCTTTTTTTATGTGGGTTTGTGTGTGTCTTTCCTTCTTTGCGAAATCTGTCCAAATACACAACAACAAGCTGAAGCTAAAGCCCGTCCCGGCAGCGGGCCATAATTAGGGTCAATTGCGGCTAACCGCTGCCAATCGGCGACAACGAAAGCTTTTTGGCCAAAACGGGGAAAAAGTGCTACACTTCATTAGGCGCCATGACAATCTGAAGAGCTGCAGCGGCAAGTCGATTTAATGCCAAACCTGCCGCACAATTACTCAAGGATCGTTTTTTGAGCCACGCCTCCGACGACGACAGTTGTCCAATTACGGGCGGGTCTTTGTCAAATTATCTCGTTTCGTCTATGAAATGAATACGTGTGCTAGCTATCTTCCACAGCCAGTTGTGAAAGTTCCCATAAAACCTAATGAGTTGCCAAGTTAAATATTGTTGTAAAAGCAAAAAAAATATAGTAAACATTAAGCTTAAAAAATTTGAAGAAGCGCGGAGGAGAGAGAGAGAGTGCTACCGATGGAGATCAAGGGAAATCCGTTCCACGGCCCACAAAAATGCGTTTAGCACGCTCCGCAAACTAAGTCAAGGCCCCAAAGCAACGATTTTCGTAGGGAAATACAATTTGGGTGAACAAATCCATCGGGTCTATCAAGACGACACCAAAAAAAACACAAAACCGTGCCGCTGCTTTTATTCAAATCTTGCATACATATATTTTTCCCCCCATCACGTTCCAAACTATTTATCTCGTGTGGAAAACCACAGGCGAAGCATCAAAATATTTATGTTTTAATAGGAATGCCAGCTAAACAAAGGTCAGTCCGCATTTATAGAGGCTATTGCCAAACATATGGAAAATAGATGAGGAGCAACGAAATGCTGCAACCTGAAAATTTAGGCGGTGTCAGCAAATACAAGAAGATTAAAAGCACTGAATTAATTTTAAATGGTTTGAAAAAATAGGTGTGTTTACTAAAGATTAGTTAGAATTCATAAATATATTTAAATGGCAATATAAGGATATGATAATGATAAGAAAGGGGATGTAGTTTCGTTTATAACTCATTTAATTACAATTTTAGTGCCTTAAAGAATATCCAAAACAACTTTAAGGCTAAGATACGCCACTCTTAAATTTTTGTTTAGAAATTTGTGTGGGTTTCTTTGCTAAATGATGTGCTGGAGAAACCAATGAATTTAATTTCAGCACACCACCACTTATCTCCATTAGATTTTGATGGCGTTTAAGGCATTCACCAAATCGAACGCTAAACCGTTAACCGCCACAAGGTTTCGAGTCAATAAACCGCTGCCGACACAGACTGCGGTGGCTATGTTGCTATGTCGAGATCAAGTTGCATTTTTATGGGGCCAAGGGTCGTCGTCGTCGTCGTCGTTGTAGGCATCATCCTCATCATAAACAACAACTTCGCCTACGTAGGCGCGTGCCCGTAGTACCAAAAGTGTGTGCAATATATACACAGGCACACACACTCTACACCCGGCCATTAAAGATCCATAAATCTTGGTTATGAAATTGGAAATGATTTTCTCGGTAGACACGTTCAAGTAGGGTGCTTAATTCCCCCAAGAACTGATGGTGATGCGTTCAGGAAGTGCCCCGAAAAAAGCGTTAATGAAAAGGAAAGTTGGTCAGCGGCACACACAACAACAAAAAAAAAAAGTGCCACTTCATGTAGAAAGAAAAACAAAGACCAAGACGTAGCTGAAGACGGCGAAAAAAAGAAGCCAAGGCAGAAATTTCTATAAACAAAGAGATGATGAGACGCAAAGGAGGCCGGGCAGAATTATCAAAGAACAACAAAAAGAAGTGGAAAATGGGACATGGCACACTCTTGGGGGCTCACAGAAACAACAAAGACCGAATGAAATTCATGTCGTTGTCGCGCTCATAAATTCTTCTACGCCTATGTGCCCCGGTATCGTATCGCTGGCTATCCGAAAGATACAAAGATACCCAAACACACACCCACACACACTCGGAAAACTAGCAACTCATTCAATCGGGAGGTGCTGCCTGCATCCGCCATATATATGTACATATATGCCTGCTTATAAAACAAAAAGAATCTATGTAAATTTGTGTATTTTGAATAAATTCCAAGCCCATCGAAGGTGTGAGGGTTTATCGAAGTTTTTTTGGGGCCCTAAAACAAGTGATTCATACCTGAAAACGCAACGAAATGGAAAGCGAAGAGAAATACGTAAATCTATATATATATATAAATTCAAATGGAATGGAATGCTGGGGCTGTCGAGGTCTGAAAGCCTAAGATAAGCTTAATGAGCAAAAGAAATTTCACTTTCTTTTGCCAAAGAACTGTTTTGACTAAGGTACAGTGCCGCTACCATAAACTTAAACAAAAAACTTGACAAACACTAATTGATTTCAAGAGCTGTTTTATCTTTGATTGTGAATGTACAGCGCAAACAATTAAGATTCTTTTGTTAAGGAATTAATCATCAGAACTAACAATCACTATTCAGAACATCTGTTTACAATTTTGCAAATCTTATAGCAATTACAATAATTTCAGTCTGTTTAGGCTTAAATCTTTTTATCAAAGTGCAAGACTTTGACTGTACCTCTTTAATTTACCACAATTACTGCGCCATTTAGGCATTTGAAGACTAATTGGCAGCCGTTTTGGTTCGCGGAGCGTAAGACTCACGTGCCGCCCATCGATCGACGAACTATGCCTGAGAAAATATAATCACCAAAAATAAAACTATAGCGCCTAGCGTAGATGAACTTTAAACGCTAATGAATCCAACTAGAACGAGTGGGTTTATTTTCAGCCTCAAGTGCAAGTCCTACAAGAAGATCGGGCAAAACAAAACACTTGATGAATGCAGCCGAAGGAGGTGCAAAAACCAAACAACAACAAGAGCAACCACCGAAGGGTGGACGGGAATGAGAACAAATGGCACCGGTCGATGGTGTGTGTGTTTTTATTTTCCTTTCCTTTCTTTTATATTATATTTATTTTATTTTCTCCCCTCGATGCGGGCACAGGGCAAATTAGCTTGGACAGCATTAACAGCCGGCTGCCAAGGGCGGAAGTACGGGGGAGTTTATTGTTAATTTCAAATAAACACCACAGCGACCAAAAACCGACAACCGAAAAAAAAACATCCACAAAATGCAGCAGTAGCAAACAACAACCACCAAACCGGCAAAATCCCAATCGGGCAGCTGCACTTTAGTGGGAAAAGATGCCCAAGTGGAGGAGATGCCGTCGAATTGGGAGCCGCGGTAGCTCTAGCTCCCGATCTCGATCCGTAATAACGAGCGGAACATCTGTCGCGGCATTTGCATTTTACGTGGAAAACTGTCTTTCCGCTGCATCGGGTGAAAAAAAAAACGGAATAACGTAAAGGGGAAAAGGAAAAACTAAAAAAAGGCAGCCAGCAAAGATTGAAAAACACAAACATCGGAAGCATCTTCGTCATAAGTTGCAAATGTGTTGGTGTTATTTTTACATTTCCGCTGCTTACGAAAATATTTACGCTCCCCTTTGCAGCAGCAGACAGACCTTCCCCATTTCCAATTTCAAATTCCAGTCGCACGCACACACACGCACGTGCTAGAGATGAGCCAAATTGAGATTGAGTGCATCGAGCGATGATAACAATTACTGTTTACATTTCTATTATATTTATAGCTTGATTAAAATTCTGACCTTGCCAGGAACATTTAAGTTTTTCCTTTTCTAGAATACTGTTTTCTGAATTTAAAAAAACTGTCATTTAAGGCAACAATAACAAAGATTCTACAGAATTTTAAAGGACGAACGGAAATTTTAATTTCACATGTTTAAATTCACAATGATTAGTTAAATTATTGCCCTGATAATCTGATACAGCACAAGGCGATAAGTGACAAATTTGCATCCCAATAAAGCATCCCCATATAACTTTTTCTGACCTTCAAAACTCGAACGTCCCAAGCTGTCCAATAAAACGGTACTTATTGTCAATACATATAAGACTTTCTAATTATATCAATTCTATTTTACAATAGAAACTGATAACAAGTGGTGCCTCTTCTATAATTTTCCCGATTTTCTCAGTCACAAGCTCGACTAGCGGGTGGAAACTTATGGCGGGCAGTGTGTGGGAACTAAGGTCAGGCCCCCATCTCTAGGCTGCTTCCGCACACACAGACAGAAACGCAGGCACGCACACCAGCTTGGAAAACGCACCGAAAACTCTTGAGCCACTCAGCTAATCCACTAATTCTGCATTTTAGCCGATTCTTACCAATACTATTTATCAATTTACCAGTTTTGTTTTGGCGACTGCTCTTTCGATGTCTCGTTCTGGCCTTATTGCCTGGTGGCCATAATCCAATTATGTGTGTATGTGTATGTGTCTGCTCTATTGCAATTGCAGTTATTCGCCGTGGTATGCACAGCCCACACAGCAACACTTTTGCACTCACACACGCACTCGCAGCAGAAAATCCTGAGCGTCAACAAAACAAATTTAGCTTTTGGTTTTAAAATAGGTTTTCACTCGATTCTGTGTCTCGTCTTGTTTATGCACTCGGATGTCGGATGTACTTTTGTTTTGTTAGACGCGACGCTGCCCATTCACCATTTCTCCCGACGCAGGGCTTTACAGCGGCACTTGAATGGTAGCCTTGGCCAATTATTTAGTTTGGAATGCAGAAGACATGTTGGCTTTATTTCTGTCCATTAGTTGCAACCGCCCGAATTCGTTTTATTTTCGCCAGGTGCGTTACCTGCTGCGAGTTATGGGCACAATAGAACACCGTGGAAGGTGGAAATATAACTAGTTGCGCACTCGGAGAGTAGGTTTGAATCAAAATATGCCGATACTTTTGTTGATCATTTTTGTTTTTAACGACAACACAACCGCTCGCGACGAATTTTTTAAAGTTTTTGTTTTTGCTTTTCGGATTCAGTGGGGCTGTAGCAAAAATCTTTTTTGGTTTTTCGGATTTATAAATACTTTTGATTTGGTCACTCTGAATTTCGCCATAACAGTCGACATCTTACATGTCAAGAGCACAATTCTACACGTTTACAGATACATGGGGTCGAATTCTCATATATTTTACAGACTGGATAACATTTTACACGTCCATATACTATTTTACACATTTATGGACACAAGTAAAGTGCATTAACAGAACTCTCTTTTGTCGGGTGTCAAAATACCAAAATATCTATATTGTTTTTTGGTATTTTTAATATTTTTCTTTTGGTCGCTCTTAAATCCGAAGCTGTTAATATTTTACACCTTTACAGAGCAATTACAGATGTTTACGTATAAAAATGTGAAATATTTTCACTAAATCCCAGCTCTCAGCTTTATTTTTTAGGAATTCCAAACGTCGGAAAATAAGCAAATTGGCAAGTTCGTAATTCAGCTTGGAAATAACTCAAATGTTTTATGGCGAGTTCTAGTCTGTTTTCGAACCAGAGTGGTGAGCGAGGTGAATTTTATTTTAAGCGTAATAATATTGCGATATGGCAACTGTTCCTCTCCTCAGAAGTGATGCCAGACTTACATAACAATGTTTATGTTTTTATTTAACAATTAATTGCACTTAAAAGGACGCCCAACTACTTATTTTTCTTGATGTACTTCATATACTTCTTGGCGTTGAAGTTGTCCTCCACTTCTTCCATAATTTTGACCTTCTTGCGCGGCTTGCGAGCCTCCATCCGGGCTTTCCTCTCCGCTTCTGATAATGTGCTTAGATCCAAGGGAAGCTGTAATTTTATAAACATTAATCACAGCATCGATGTTACTTATCTTTCTTACCTTGATTATCTTCCTTGGTTCGTGGTAGCGAATGTTTATCGTGGATCCATCCGGCTGAACAACTACAGTGGGGTACATGCGGCAGTATACGGAACGGTGCAGCCTGGTGACCGCCGCTGTGGCTGAGGAAAGACAACGTAATTGCTGCACGGCCAGCGGCAACTGTTTCAGCAACATTTTATTTAATTATTTCAATAAATTAACGTTTAAGAGCAAATTTTTTGGGCACGCGAGTTATGTTGTTGCAAAACAGCTGATAGTGTAACCAAAGCGAGTGAACTTATTCGTTACATATCGGATGTGCCCTGGCCACATACGTTATTTTGAATACTCCCTCGGCGCTTTTCAGTCGAATATCAAGTTCTTCTACATGCCTCGATTCTCCGCAATCATTTCAAGTGACGCATAGTACTAAAATCTAAGAAAAAACACGATATTCTTTGTTCTATCTTGACATTTTTACAAACGGTTACGTTTCATACACTTACGTCGCTTGTTTACGTCTCTGTTTAATCAGTGTGACCAACTATCGGATAGCGGAAAAGCCTATTTTCTCACGCACTATAAGCTTATTACAATAAAAAAGACTTTGGTCACATTAGTCGTACTCAAAGTGTAAGTTCGGGGTAGAATATTTTATTTTTCTCAAAAAAAATACAAGTACGTTGCTTAAAGGCCACTAAAATATAAAATTTATATAGTGTGGGGCTACCGAAGATTACTAGGTTCACTGCTTTTGTGGAGGAGAAGCCAGGAAAACAGTTTTTTGTTATGCAGCACCTGCAGCTCGGCTGGGCAAAAAAAAATTACATAATTTTTGCAGGCATAATTTTCCCAATGAGTGCGCCTAGTAACTTTGAAAAACATAGATGACTTAATGCACACCAATCATTAAATTAAGCTGCGATTAAGACAACTTCGGTTCCTAAAGACCTTCCCCATTTTTCTCATAACAGAACCTAACCTCATACCCGTGTTTGTTGTTGCTCCACAGCTTTTGTGCTGCAGAATGGCCGCCCGCCGCATCGCCCAATCTTCGATCAACTGGTCCGCTCTTGCCGAGCGCGTGCCCGCCAACCAGAAGAGCAGCTTCGGCGCCTTCAAGACCAAGTCGGACATCTATGTGCGCGCCGTGCTGGCCAACCCTGAGTGCCCGCCCCAGATTGACTGGGCCAACTACAAGAAGCTGGTCCCCGTCGCCGGATTGGTGGACAGCTTCCAGAAGCAGTATGAGGCCCTGAAGGTGCCCTATCCCCAGGACAAGGTCTCCTCGCAGGTGGATGCCCAGATCAAGGAGTCGCAGAGCGAGATTGACTCGTACAAGAAGGCCTCTGAGCAGCGCATCCAGAGCTATCAAAAGGAGATTGCTCACCTCAAGTCGCTGCTGCCCTACGACCAGATGACCATGGAGGACTACCGCGAAGCCTTCCCCGACAGCGCCCTGGACCCCATCAACAGGCCCACCTTCTGGCCCCACACCCCGAGGAGCAGGTCGGCTACAAGTCCAAGGAGCAGCTGGAAGCCGAGGCCCAGGGACACCACTAAGCGGTGGACAGCTTTGGGAGCGAGGGACCGAACTGCTGAGAGGTAGTGTATTGGTCGCTGGTCGTTTGTCGATTCGAAATGTAAACCACGAACTAAATAATTACCCAAATTAAATTCATTTCAAATGAGGAAGGATTTATCTGTCTAATGGGTAACTTTTTATACAGTTTTCTATTATTTAAGTCAACTCGTTATATAGCCTGACAATTTATTTTTAAAGTCGTCACAAGCCCTACTTTAAAGCCACTCAAATATGTCGATGATGTTCAATATGGAATGGGGCTACTTAGAGGCCCTCACGCGAGGCTTCAAAAACGGGATGCTGAAGAACTCAGACTACCTCAACCTAACGCAGTGCGAGAGCCTCGAGGATGTAATGATCAGCATTATTGGCACCGATTATGGGAACATTTTCGGTGGGCACGGCGAGCCGAGTGTGGGGTTGATCAACATGAGGCTGCAGGACCGTCTGAGGCAGCAGTTTGACTACATCCGCTGTCACTCTTCAGAGCCTCTGACCACATTCATGGAGTACATCCGATACCCGTATATGATTGACAACATTGCCATGCTGATCGCTGGCTTGAATAACCGGCGGCCCATGAAGCGTCTGCTTAAGATGTGCCACCCTCTGGGTGTGTTTGACCAGCTTGGTGCCATCGAGTTGGTTACGGACTTGTCGGAGCTCTTCGACTGTGTGCTTATTGACACACCCATCGCACAGTTTATACCCTCGGATATGCCACGGGAGTCGTTGCGTGAAATAGACGTGGAGATCGTGAGAGCCAGCCTGTACCGGGCCTATCTGGAGGGCTTCTACACCTACTGTTCTAGTCTGGGGGGCAGCACCGCCGAAGTGATGACCAATTTGCTGGCCTTCGAGGCCGATCGCCGGGCTATCACCATAGCCGTAAATGCGCTAGACAGCGAGATTAGGTAAGGGTCGTACCCGTCGATAATGGGGACTCCTATCTAAATCCCAGTTCCTAGACCACCACACCGCAAGAAGATGTTTCCCACCTGTGGACACCTGCCACAGGTGGCCCTGGATCACTTAGCCTATGCCACCGATGCGGAAAAGATACGAGATGTGTGTAACATGTACGATGGATATGGCAAGTTGTTCGATATCTTCGACCGAGACACCGACGGCATGATTACTCTGGAGGATCGCTTCCTCATGCTGGAGGCCAAGAAGAACGCCAGCTCGTTTCTGCAGCAGTATCACTTTGGCATCTTTTATTCGTTCATCAAGCTGAAGCAGCTGGAGTGCCGCAACATTGTCTGGATTAGCGAGTGTATCTCGCAGCGCCAGACGGACAAGGTCAACTACTACATTCCCATTCCACTGGACTATTAATCGTTGTTTTGCTGTATATCTAGACGAGATTTTAGGTTAATTATAAAAAATTGTTCAATTTCATATCCCGCAACCCTTATTTTTTAAATTTTTATATTATTTTGATTTAAAAGAAGGCTTTTTCGAATCTATTATTTCTCGCATGTGACAATTCAAAGAACGCGCGCTTTCTTACCTCAGCAATGACAGTGTTAGTAAACACACTTAACTGTCTTTACATTTTATAATTTATTTTACATTTTCAGATGTAATAAGACTATACCGCCTCAAGCGGATAATGGCAGAACTAACTCAAGTTTCGCAACAGGTCTAGAGTCTGCGACAAAATAAACCCACTTTTCCCTGATTTCATTAGTTAAGCGTAGAAAATTTAGTTACAGGATACAGATTAATAACTTACAAGCCAAATTTGCCATTCTCTCGGTCCCATATTCCCTATAAAAGCTTTACTAGACTAATATCAAATTACCCGGCGCCCCCTAGCGGCAAAAAGCTGAACTCATTGGATTAAATTATCTCTCCAAGGTTTGAGCCTGTGATAAAATAAAATAAAAGTTATCGATAAATCAATTTAGGTGCAGATCTCGACTTTTCGATACTTTTTTTAAGTCGGAGAAAAATTGTTGGTTATATTCAAAAATGCACTTACGGTCACCCTATGCTGCGGAGAGTATTCTTTAGCTCACCAAAATCCTCTCTTTTGAAAAAAATCCGTTAAAAAGCTTCAAGCCTGTCTTAAAAATCTCGTTTCAATCTTGGCGCTCTCTCTCCGTCTCTCTCGGCATCTCACCTGATTGCTCAGCTTTGGGAAACTTAGGCAAAAACTTGTCTTAACCGTGCCGCGTCGTGGTCGTATTCGTGCTGGGGATGATCGTTCGGTTGGAGCTATAGCGATCAGTCGCTGTGAAATCGAGTTGGAGTGCAAACGTCTCAAGCGGAATCTCAAGTTGTAGCAGTTTTAGCTCCATCGCTGGAGAATATACAAAGTTGAATCAAGTTTGCCACCACGTTTGCCTCTGGCCGAAACACATCCCGAATCGAATCCAAATATCTGTAATTTGCATAAGGCGTAAACCAAGACGCGCTCTGTCTCCTCTGTCAGTTGTAACCCACTTTCTAAACGACCCAACCGCCAAACAAAAATAACAAATAAACAAACAGAATAAAGGAGAATAATACTGCGACCGATATTCAGCAACAACGAAACCAATTAACAAGCAAATAATGCCGAGGAAATAACACAACGTGCAAGTGATTCATGGGAATTCAAGTTTTTTTCTACCAAGTGAAGTAGTGCCTTCTGTCCCCTAAAGAAAAATCTAAATTGTAAACGAAATCGAAACACAGCTGAAAACGCCGCAAAAAAAATATAGTTGACTCAAAACGCATTCGCGATAACGATACCTTTGGAACGCCTCCGACCAATTGTGGAGGAAACCGCAGCAGCAGCAGCAACAGCAGCTTCATCATCTTCATCTTTTCAGCCAGCAAATACGGATTGCAAACAACCCGGGTAAGTTACACCATCGCTTGAGGAGAGAGAGGAGCCTTTTGCATTCCCAGTTTTCCCTTTAGCTTTGGCCTTACCTCGGTCTGCAAACGAGTTAGCAAGCGGTTGTGGCTATTGCCACGATCGGCCAAAGCCAGTTAGCAGCAGTTTGTGAAGAGTTTTCCGACTAAAGAATACCGGGTACTCGAATTTCTTCATCTTTGGTCACAGAACTCTAAGATTTCCTGAGCTTAAAAAGAAAGTAAAGTGGTCAAAGAGATATTTAGTACTTACAGCAGAACAGAGATAAGAAACTAATGACAAAACTATATCATTTATAATTGGTTTAGCCAATTTTAAAGTTTAAGTGTATAAAAACTAATCAATATCACATAACTATTAAACTATTTAAATGTTAATATATTTGTGTAAGCCAAATATCATAGAAAACCTATTATAATAAATCCGTATTTCCATATTTTGAACCTTTAATCTTAATGAAAATCATACCTGGAACTGACGTGGGAGTTGGCCAAAGACTTCCAAATACGGGAATACCCCTGAAATGTGCGTGTACCTTGGGCAAATCCTAACCTTATCTTAAATCGCTTCTTGGATCCCCCAACCGTTTTGGGGGCTCTCCATGGATTCCATATTTCATAATCTGCTTTCAGCTGCTGCTGTCTGCGAGCAGCATAACTTTTAGCACCTTTGGGCACCTTCTCAGTTTCGCAGTTTCGCAGCTCAGCATTGCAGCAGGTACACACACACAAGGCACACTCACTTTGCAGACACACGCAGGGGGGCTATAATTTCTTTGGATAATTATTACTCGTCTGGCATATTTTTGCTGCTTTGTTGCTGCTTTTCGCTAAACTCTGCTATGACCGCCGCTGACTCTGTGAAATTTTTGCGTTAAAGTAACGATTTTTTTTGCCTTGCTTTCGTTGTTTTTAATTTTTTGTTGTTTTTATATATTTTTTGTGCGGTCGTTTGCATAAACACCTAGCACATAATTTGGAACGTATTTTTAACTTTACCTAAATACTCAATTTGGGAAATGTTTGCAACTTTCCAGCGGAAATGTGCACAAAAAAGCTCAACCTTAAGTATTTATATGCGTTATTCGATCTCTGGCCTTTGGTTTTTTTTCGGCAGAGGTAATATTTGTACCTGTAAGCGTGTTGGATTTCAGTTATACATAAAAAATAATAATAAATACGAGTTGCCTGGGAAGTCTTAGGAATGTGTTGATCGGTAATTCGAGATGCGTTAGGTAATTAAGCTTTGACCGATCTGCCAGGTGACAACGTCTCCGTTGGAAATGACTCAAATCCGCCATCGATCTCTTATTGTAAATTGTAAATTCCCAAATGACTCAAGTTCTGGAAAGTAAAAGTCATTTGATTTCAGTCAAGTGTATTTTTTGGGAAACATTGGTTTTTCAATGACCATCTGTTTGAAATGATTCTCAGAGATTGTCTTTTAATTGATAAAAATCGGACTTGAGTATTAGCTTTGTTAAAACCAGCTTGTGCTTAATTTTTAGTTAAGTATGTGCTGGTTTCTGCACCCATTTATAAACAGCTTTTTTAATGGTGTATATATTAAATTAAAAATTTAAGTTTATGCCTAGTCTTTACTCATTTTTATTGAACTTGAATCTCTAGATTCTCCTGATACCTTTGGCTATTTCTTTGTTTTTCTATTGAATTTCCTTAATTAAGGATTGCTTCTGAAGTGCCCAGTGCACCTGATGGCTCTCTGGGATGTTGTTGACCAACGTTGTCGCCGTTCAAGACGTAACTTATAACCAATTGCCATGAATGAAAATCGCATTTCATTACGGGCCGTCAACGCTTGAATGTGATGCGACGCAGCCGGTGGCCGGTTTTCAAAACGTGTGTGTTATGTTGTGCCTTGTGTGTGTGTATGGTTTTCCACCATCGGCGACAATAGCTACGCACGTTCGCAAAAACAAAAAAGAAATTGTCAATAAAGTGCAAGAGGAGACTGCAGAAAAAAAGGCAAAACAAAAACAGAAATTGCCACAGAGAAACGTGTTCCAGCGCCACGGGGTTGTGTTGCTACACGGGAATTAATTTACCAATTTTACAAAATTTATTAGATACCTGTTTTGAAATAAATAAATAAATAATAGAAAACAAACACCAAAAAAATAGAAAAGATAATTTAATTCGCTTTATATCCTCGCATTGATGTCAAAAGCTGAAAACGCAGTGAAGGAGTCATTTCCAATCCTCTAAATCATATATATTCTTGATCAGCATCAAAAACAGATTCAAACTAGCCCTGTCCGGTCGAAAAAAAAATGTTTCGAAGTTTTTTTCGAAAATGCAAAATTTTACAAGGGGTTACATCATTAAAATTGTTAAAAATTGGCAAAAACTTTAATACTTTTAAATTTCAAATCGAGTATGCAGATTTTTTAACCCATAAAAAGCTATAACAGAACCGCTTTTTGAATTAAAATTGATGAATTTTGACTTAGATATGAGTTATTTAAATATTTATTTTTTGAAAAAATGTTCATATAAAAATATCTATAAGTATCGATTTAAAAAAAATGCTAATCTTTCATGGTTAGTTATGCTTAATTTTCGATTCAATCCTATAGTTTAATTGCAAACTGCAAGGGTAGAAAAGCTACGTCTTCCCGAAGTTAGTTTTCTTTCTAATTGTATCTTAGATACCTTTAAAATGGGTTACTGATGAACCAAGTTAACTCTTCCTTCCGAAAGATCTTTATAAGGAAGTCAAGTGCTAGTCTTTCTCAAGATCCCTATTTAACAATGTCATTAAGATACACTTTTGGTTAAAAGATACATCTTTTTGCAAACCTTAATATTTCTTTCTTTAATATAATATAAATTTTTTCAATGTTGGTATATAATTTTTTCCGTGTAACGCTTTTCTTTGACGGTTTAGCAGCCCATCCTATGGCCACGCCTCTCTCTCTTTCTCTCTGTCTGGCTGAAATCGAGTGCAATCGTGGCCAAAAAGTGGCCGCTGTGGACACTGACAGGGGGCGGCTGTAAATTTCGTATTAACTATCCGCTAGATAGCCGCCGTACTTTCACAAAAACTCGTTCGAACCAAATGGCACAAATATGAGCATTTTATTTGCAGCGCTTTTCATTCGTTTTTATGCAATTTTTCGAGATTTTTTTTGCATGGCGCATAGTTGCTTTATTAGCAACGTGCCAAACGCAAACAAACCAGGACAAGAAGCAAAACCAAACAAAAGGCAAATCAACTCGGCAAACAAGAAGTTTGTAAATGGAAAACTGCATTTTGGCACGAACTTTTGGGGCTTTTTCGGCGGGAGGTGTCTTGTCTTGTGTGGGGTTACGCAGTAAAATTTAAAAAGAAACAAATCCCACTCCACTAAACAATTATGCAGCAAGCGAGACCCGGGAAACTTTCCACTTTTTCCCTCCATACAATACTCGGCATTTTCAAGGCACGCACTTGTATTTTTTTGTTTATTTCTATTACAATCCACCGCTGCTCATTGTTTACCAAATAGGTGCCTTAAATTGCCAGCTTTCATTGCTGTTTGCATAATAATCGAAATACTGCAGATTAAACTGTCTGTGGTCATGGATTTCCCTGCCCTTTGTTTTCCATATTTTCCACCATCTTGTCATCTTGTCTCGTCTCGTCTCGTTTCGGTTTTCCTCCCATGCCGAGTGAGGCGATAAGCGAAACGTGATTGATTGGAAGCGACGAGCTGCCAGAGATGAGATATGACATCTCCGTCTGGGACTCAGTTCGTATGGGATCTGGGTTTGGCTTTGGGTTTGGGTTGAGGTTAGGAGTCGTAGTTGGAGTCCAGCGGTGTCTCTCAGGGACTTCTCCTTATCAGTTGACCCTGTTTGAAGCTGATTTATCGCAACTTTCGACTAGGTTTCTTTAATAAACAACTATTGCAGATATGTATCTGAGACTCTAAGATACAACCATTAAGTATGTCTATTTGTATTGTCTTACTTCAGTTAAATAATGATATATCTACGACTTTGTTAGTTATAAAATGAAATGAAAATGTATATAACACCTTTCTCTGTATAAATCACAACTTGAAATACAAAAGAAACTATCCCAAATAGCCCTTTCAAAGCCCAAAGAATTATATCTTTACTTTTATAAAATAATCATAATAAGCAATTATTCTTTTGTTCATTTTAAGAGCTTACTTATGGGATTTGCCGCCACCAACATTTTTGCAAAGATGACACTGTCTTTTCGTATTTATTTATGGCTGCTTCCGAGTGCTAAAAGTTCAATTTCCTCTGACACCTTTGCTTCTATTTCTTTTACGTTTTCGTTTTTGTTTTCTTGTGCTCTTTGGCAAGGTAAATAAATAACTCAAACTGCCCGCCAATGATCATTTCTTTGGTTTCTGCCAGTAAATCATCAGCTTGTTGTTAATTTTTTGCCCCCTTCTCTCTTTATATCTCTATATCTTCATATGTCTTCTGCTTTGTTTGTGCGTCAAGAGTTGGCACGACAGGCGGCGGCGGGAGAAAGTTTTTCTTTTGCTTTGCCAAACTCGAAAAAAATAAAAATAAAACCGAAAAAATTAACGCCAAAATGTATAAAATGCAAACAAAAGCGAGAAAAAAAAAACGCAAGCAAACTGTAAAGTGTGCAATGCAAACATGTGATGATATATACTTATATAAGATATTGTCTGTGGGTTTAAAAACGCATAACAATTAATTGTTAAAAGAAAGAAAAACGATCAGCAGACGGCGAATGAATCAAAAGTAGATGACACTCTTGGATATCTGCAGTAAACACAAACTTTGAATGGGGGAATAACAAATTGCAGGTGTTTTTCGGGCACCTGTTTTGGCCATCAAAGTAAATGACTTAATTTATGCCACAAATGTGTCGTCGAGCAGCACTTTCTACTGCCACTGACAAACGACACCGCCCCACCTAAATGCCATTCTTGCGTAAGCTATTTTTGTTTTTAAAAAGTATTATTTTTTAAA